GCTTTATTATCCACTGTAAAATGGTCCAGCCGCATTGTGGACAAACTAATTCTTGCAAAAAATAAAGCATATAAAGTATGCACGGTTCTAAAAAATCGGGCTGTGCGGGACAATGCTGATAACAAAATTTCATTATGTCACACATACTGTACAGCTATGTTAGCATACATGTAAAAACTGAAGTATACTCTGGGCTTTACCCAAAGTATTCAATTTCGCTGCATATCTCATCTCTCATTGTTTGTGCGCAGCCGTGAATGACACCACTAGGTGTAATAGAAACCATCATGAGTGCGTTCCACTTCACTTTAAGACACGCTCTGGCAAATGTCCTCAATCACTTCCCATCAGGGAATCCCTGCCGCCATTTTGGAGTGCGTTCCACTTCATCAAATGGACAAGAAAAGTTTATATGGACAGACCCTCAAAATAGTTTTAGACAAGAAATTGGCAACGAAGGTAGGCGTCAATACCAGGGAAACCATCTAGAACACCCTTAAATCACTCATTACACTTTCTAAATTTGAGAGTCACATTTCCTTCTAAGTAGTTTTAGACAAAAAATTGCTCGTTCTTGAATTCCCACCCCGTCTCCTCACCAAAATAACCATATATGGAGCTTACAATGCCTACTTTTATAATGAATAACCTCATCTGCACATTATTTCCATGTGCATATTCCCATCCAGAAAATTGTGTAGACACATGAATTTCTATAGGCTGTATTGAATTGTAACCTATAAATGACATGGTTGGGAATATCCATTTGGAATTGATATGCAGACTTGGTTGTGCATATTAAAACTAGGCGTTGTAAGCTCCATATATGGTTATTTTGGGGAGGAGACAGACAATAGATTATACATCAGGCTAATCTATGAGAAGTTTTATAGATAAAGCCGAAGCACATGGAAATAGATAAGTGCTTTCCTGTTTTCCATTTTGATTCCTTATCTCCTATACTTTTCTTCTTCTTTATATGCTAAAACAAAGGCTCTTTCTTTCATTGCTTCCCCCTGCTCTCTGTCTGCTGTTGTATTTTTTCCCGTGTCCTTGATCTTGTGTGTAAGATTAGTGGTCGTCGTGGCATTGTTCTGTTTATCATTGAGCAGATGTGCCGAGCACTGCTGAGTGGCCCACATCTTCCTCTCTCCTTCCCCTTCCTCTGAGTGACAGTGATGAAGGTATTTGGGTAAACAGGACTCTGTGTTGATGGATGGGTCAGTAAGCAGCTGGTGTGTGAGATCAGCGGCAGCCGTATGACAAGCACCTGCAAAAGACTCAGAGGAAACAAGCACCAAACACACACTTGTTCATTCTTCTAATCTATATTTAGAGGTTTGTTTAAAGAGTTCACCCAAAAATGGAGTTTCTGTCCATGTTGATTCGTTTTAAACCTATATCATGTACTTTCTTCGATGGAATACTAAAATAGAGATTTTGAAGAATGTTCACGCTGCTCTTTTCCATTTAATAACTACACATATATAGTTTGATGTCATAGGATTTTAGAATGTTTCTGAAAAAAGTCTCATATGCTCACAAATGCTGTATTTATTTGATCAAAAATACAGTAAAAAGTTATATCGTAAAATCTTATTATATTTAAATTTTAAAGATTTATTTTTGGCATTTTCACCTTTATTATGATAGGACAGAGCAGAGTTGACAGGTAGCGAAGTGGGAGAGACGGGGTGGGATCGGGAAAGGATCGCAATGGTGCACAGCGCAACGGTGCTGTATGTCGGCACGCTGCCCACAAGGCTATTGGCGCTGACATAAATATTTACATTTATTTAAATAATTTATTTAAATAACTGTTTTCTATTGGAATATATTTTAAAATGTAATTTATTTCTGTAATCAAAGCTGAATTTTCAGCATCATTACTCCAGTCTTCAGTGTCACATGATACTTCAGAAATAATTGTAATATGCTGATTTGATGCTTCATATTTCTGTGGAAACTGTGATAAAGAAAAATTCAGGATTTTTTTTTTTTTGAATAGAAGATTACAAATACAATGTTTTGCAGTAATATAAATGTCTAAAATAATATTTATTCAGAATAATTTAGAACCTAATTTCATTCGCATATGTTGAAATATGGTGCATGAAGACAATCTGCCTAAAATCTCCTTTTGTTTTGCACGTAAGCCATACACATAATATTAAAAAAACAATACCATTAAACAATGACAGAAAATAATTTTGGGTGAACTATGCTCTTGCCTAAATAATTTCCTCAATTTACTGACAAATAAAATTGACAAGCTCGAGCACTTGTTTTGAAGCCACACCTGTTTTCTGCTCTCATTACGATGAATGACATTATTCTCAGAAAACAAACTCTACAGTACATGCACCAGTGCACTGCATTATTACCAATGAAAGGTGTTTTTAGCCCACATGATGCAATTCATGATTTGTCTGGGTTGTTTTGGGTTTTATTACACGCAAGATTAGTGCAATTAGCAACGTGGTCACGAGCGCAGGGGCTTTGCGAAGAGTATTGTCTGAGTTGTATCGCTCATCCGCAGAGGCGGACAAAGTACTCAACTCCATTACTTGAGTGAAAGTACAGGTACTGCTGGTAATGTTAAATGCTGTCTAATCGCTCTCGCTGTACTTTGATGACACACACAGAACAGTCTGTGCAGTGCTGCTTCAGTCAAACACCTATTGTGTTTTA